AGAAATTTCCGTAGGGGAAATTTCGCGGAGAAATTTCCGTAGAGAAAATTTTGCGGAGAAATTTCCGTAGGGGAAATTTCGCGGAGAAATTTCCGGAGGGGAAATTTTGCGGAGAAATTTCCGTAGGAGAAATTTTGCGGAGAAATTTCCGTAGGGGAAATTTTGCGGAGAAATTTCCGTAGGGGAAATTTTGCGGAGAAATTTCCGTAGGGGAAATTTTGCGGAGAAATTTCCGTAGGAGAAATTTTGCGGAGAAATTTCCGTAAGAGAAAATTTGCGGAGAAATCTCCGTCAGAAAAAATTTGCGGAAAAATTTCCGTACGAGAAAATTTGCGAAGAAATTTCCGTAGGAGAAATTTTGCGAAGAAATTTTCATAAGAAAAATTTTTTCGGGAGAAATTTAGACCTGCTCCCGAATCAGCACATATATTACTCCATTTCTGTCCCATATTCTGATATTCGAGTTTGCGGCAAATCTCAACTGACATTTTGAAACATAAATGCGCATTATATACGAGTGCAACTGAGCGTACAATCGTGGCATATGCCGTAGGGTTGGATGGTGCATTCTCCCTGTATTCACATGACACAAGTCCATGGAGTCGTTAATCATGGTGAAACAGTAGTTGCACTACAGTAGATACCCCAGCAACGAGTAGCTAGTCGAAATTATTTAGGAATTCACAGACTAATTCACTTTCACTCGTTAAATCCTGGGAGAATTAAATGAGGAAAATAGGAGTGGGTGAAATAGGTAATGGAGAAATCCCAGGGGGCATGGAAAATTACAGCTATCCTCAAACAGTGAAATTTATTTGGCTTGCTCAAACCGAGACAGTGGGGAATCTCCAATGTGAATCACCAGAACTATTTCGAGAGAAAGGTATAATCACACATTTAATCATTGTTAAAGTGAATTACCATCGCCCCTTCTGGATTCAGTGATGGTTGTACCCACGGCAACAAATAGATTCCAATTGGTATGATTGGTTGGATTATTGTTGAAATAAGTTGAATGAGATGAATATTTTCTCATGAACCCACGGGAGACAGACAGCCAAAGCCGATTATCATCCCTCTTCCCACATGGACGTCATTATCGCTAGATTATTGTACAAGAGATCGGTCTATGGAGCAGTTGGAATGAATCAGTAACGTGAGATTACCCCGCCCCTGTCACCCCCTGCCAATGGTACCAATTCATTGACAGCGTCGATGGGCTAATGGCGCTTGTCATTCAATGGCCAACAGACTGGTGTAGTCGTGGTAATCCTTTGCGTTTACAACTGTAATCCACTCGTCTGTGGTGTCACTGGTGACTGCCATTACCACTCAGTCTCTAGTTCGAGTTAAAGTTATTGATAATCACTTGTCTCTTTATAATTTTATTCCTGAAAACTGACCACTCGTCATTTTTTCAGCTGTCAAATTGCCACATGATACAATTAAAATGATATAATAATGAGTCATGAGTTCGTAGTTGAGTTCAATCAATTTTATTGGTTGCATTCCATTAATTGATCCCTCCACAAAATGGGCGTATAATTTTTATAATTATAATTATGAATTCGGGGGTGAACCCCACAAAGATTATAATCTGATGTGCGCTCGTCTCGTTTGAGTATTATTCGTCACTTAATTGAGTTGGACTCTATTTTTTCTTGATTCTGCATACTAGTGGTGCTATTAGTTGGTGAATTAATTAAATTTCGGGGGATAATGATTAGTGAATAATTAATGAAGTGTTTGAAGCACCTGAAAGGGATGTAGACCCCGAGAAGTGTGAAATTTCACATTTCTATAATGCTGTCTCCTGAAATGACCAAAAACCAGTTTGAATTTTATTTTCGCATTCTTCCGACGTGATTCTTTCCTGAAGTCTTTGGCCACACTCCAGTCTCGAAGATGAAAGACAAGTTGGCTGAAGAACCGAGGGAATATAGAGTTACTTAACAACTGGATGAAGGGGCAGAAAATAAACAGCCAGAGGCTAGTTTACCGAGTTTTCAGACTGGAAATATTTAATTGACTTTGCACAACATGTTTTCGGTACTTTTAATTCCCTTGTTAGCTCGTATTTTCTATTTATCCTGATGCTGATAACAAGGTGGAGTTGGGAGTGGATGGGGAAGTGATATCTAGGATATTTTCCACGTATTTCTCAGTGACAAAGGATTGTATTGTTGAATCTTGAACAATTGGCATTGAAAACGATCGACAATTGCAATGTCAATTCCATGGGGCTTATTGTTGCTGTTAAATATCTCTCAAGTTTGGAACATCGTAAATACACATAGGTTTCTAGAGCCAGGATCTCTTGAATATGCACATTGAGAGGAGAATACCCTCTTGGCGAGGAAGACTACTCGACATGAACACCAGCATGAGAAAATCCCACGGACAATATCCATTTCCCCCTTTCCTCATCTCCTCTCGTCTGTGGCTTTGGATCAATTCTCGAATATACCAAGGAGCTGGTGCTATCCATTCGAGACACCTCAGGATACTCTTCCTCAAATTAGGCTCTGGTACTCGGAGGACTAATACAAACTCCCGGTATCTCTTCTCCGTGTGTGTATTGGTCGGATGTAGATTACATCTGATACCTACGGAGACTTGTGGGTACCTCAAACAATTCCAATAGCTGTTCCCTATAAACCCAGAAATTGTCTCGGGTTAATCTTCTATTGAACTCAACCAGTTACTTGTAATTACTGGGCTCATGCAGGAATTTCATTCTGAGATTAAGCCGGGGATTAGTATTTGATTGTATTCTGTGGTCCAATTTATCGTTGAAGGGAGAGACTTTTTTCGAAATCCTATTTTATCTATCAACCCCTCACTGATTTTCCGGAATTTTGTCTCAAAAATGATGATTAACCCCTGGTTGGTGGGGAAAACGGAAAATTGAAAAAATAAAAATTTTATTCTAATTCCTTATAAATTATTATTAAACTATTAAATCTCTTAAAAAATAATAAATCATTTTTTGGGCCTCATCTAAAATGTTTCGGGAAGAGAAGTGACGTTTCGAAATTTCAGATTATGACACCTACTGCGCAATCTGTGAGCCGAATTTGAATTTGGCGGTTCGAGTTGACCAATGAAAAACTAGTCCTATGCGTTTCGAGATATATCGACTCGGACGAACTTCATTGTTGTGTTCCTACTTTCATAAAAACGAGACCTACTGCGCACTCTGTGCGCGGAATTTGAATTTGAATTTTTTGGCGGTTCGACTCGACCAATGAGGAATTAGTCCTACACGTCTCGAGATATTTCGACTCTGACGAACTTCATTTTTGTGTTTCTACTTTCATAAAAACGATGAGACCCACTGCGCACTCCGTGCGCCGAATTTGAATTTGGCGGCTCCAGTTGACCAATGGGGAACTAGTCCTACACGTTTCGAGATATTTCGACTCGGACGAACTTCATTTTTGTCTTTCAACTCTCATAATAAGGACAATAAACTCCTCAGAAACAATAAATACAAAAACGAAAAAAAAATCCTTACAAGATAATTTCCGAGATCAGTAAAATCATGTTACCGATCAGAATAGCCTAGATACTGAGGTTTCTTCTGCAATCGCCAACATTTAAAATGTAGGACTTATTGAAAGCTCTTGCGCATACCCTGCGCAAATGTGTGGGTGTTGTATCGAAACGATCGGCAATGACCGCACCGATAATTCGATTTCTCCACTCTCGGTGTCTTACCGATCATCAATTATTATTCATCCTAGTATTGTTGGCATTCGCACGCAAACGAGCGGCGAGAAGCCAAAAAAAAGGGAAAGGTACAATAGAGAAGATAGGAAAATCATTCCGAGAGTGAAATATTCGTACAAAATAATGCCAAGACTGCAGGGAAGAGTTATATTTCGATAATAATCTTGATTCGAGCATAAAATTCTCGGATTATCATCTACAGGAGAGGAAAATCTCGTTCGCAGATCGTGTTTTTCTCTCTTTTATTTTGAGTTTTTCTTGTCTGGAAGTCAAAAGGATTTTTAGTGGATACAGTTGGAATTTAATTTGATTCGGATAATCGTACGTACGATTGAGCCAACAATCCGTTTTTTAATTCGCCGAGAGTTTCAGTCGATTAAAATCCAAACGGGGGAATTCATTAGATGCAAATAAATTTCATTAGTCGACAGTGAATAAAACTTTAACGGAGTAAGACAAACAGCATTCTGAACTGTTTAAACTGATTACTTCGTAAAGTACCATTAAACAATCAGTGAATTTTCCACGGGTCTGCGTAATGAGTTATTCAATAAAAAAGGAACAAATCTGAATAATTACTCTTCTTTTTCCCCGCGATGTGCGGCGGGAGAAGCGATCGAATTATATC